GTGCACATATGCATTTAAATTGACTGAGTGAATGACACTTAATGACAGATGTCATAAGCATGCATAAAATCTCTATATTCATGATGTGTCATGACATGTCATATGTCAGTCTTATGAACACACCCTTCAAGTAAAATGTTAGCATTTATTTTTATTTTCTCTCCGGAACAACCCCTGACTGAAACAGTGGAAACTAATGTCCCTGCTCTTTTGGCCTGTGCCTGGTGTATCTGATGACAGTCAGCAGCCAAGTGCCCACAGATCATGCTACACAGGCGTGAAGTTGCACAATGGAAAAAAAAAAAAAACCTGATGCAAGTCTCCACCAGAGAGGGCAACACCACCATGCAGCCGCTGGTAAACTTGGCCAGCTTTTCCTTATTCCTCAATCACCCATAAAGACCGCGATTCAACCTTGACCAAATCAAAGTTGGAAGAATGCGAGGTCCTGATCTGGCCTTCTTCAGACAAGCCAGGCAACCTGTCACCCTACATTACATCTCCTGCCATCAGTCCTCCTCATGTCTCTGCCCAAGGGACAGGCGTTCACCAGCTCCTTTACGAGTCACAGCCAAAGATATTCAGAGAGATTAAAGCAGATTTAGGTATGGGAAAGGAAGACCAGAGCATAATGTGAGTTAGAGAGAGAAAGTTCACCCCACCTAGTACATCTGCGTCATGCACATGCAAAGAATTTGCCGAAGGCTTTTGCAAATATTTGCTGCTTGAGTTGGGAAATCATCACACCTGGGTAGCAGCGACAAAGGGCAGGTCAGATAACACAGGTGTTGTACCTCTGCAGAGTCCAGATTACATCAACAAAACACACAAAACAGCGGCCTGAATCATGCAGTCTAGGGTTCAAACGTCAACTTTAAGCTCACCTGCCACAAATCTATCCAAAAACTAACTATTCAATTCATTTGTTATTGATGCAGAGCATTGTGTGTGATTGTGGTCTTTCTTACATCACTCATAGAGCGGTCAGTGTCGACCCACTACTGATGTGCATCTCTAATGCAGCCCTGTTATGCATATAACCGTACTGCTGTTGGAGAACTACTGTGAACTATGACACCCGTTCAGTGAAACCCGGTTCTTTTATGCACACCAGAACAAAAGCATTGCATGAATTTATTTAAGCTACATGTGTCATGTTTCAGCTTAAAAATAGGTGCTAAATTTACACTCGCTTTCCGAGCCAAAACGAGAGAGCTCTGCGTCATGGTAACTGTCACTCATGTATGCACTGCTATTCCATACACTCGGGCTGTTTCCCACACTGCCATCTGCTGCTGGAGCACCCTCCTTGAGAGTCAACATGCAACATCAAGATCTTTAACAATGACACAACAGAAAAAGCCTGTAGGATTATGATGCACATGGATTGTGGCTAAAACTAATTACAGAAGTGAAAATATGATTATCAAATTCACATTGTGTTGCATGAGTGTACCTTCATTTATGATGATACTGCTAGTATTTATTGATAAAGCAGTGCTATATCAACAATTTTCTATTATAAACTAAAATGAAAAGAATTTAGAAACATTTTTGTAAAAATTGCCTTGTCAATGACTAAAATGGAAAGTAACTGAAAAGTAAATAAATAAATAAATAAATAAAATACAAGTATTAAAACCAGGAAAGTTGGCATAGAATAATCAAACTGAGATATTGGCTTAAGAAAGTCTGACCACAAAGTTTTAAAGACATTTTGTTTGAATGGTTTCAGTTGGAAGCAGTTAGAAGCTTTAATCCACACTAATTAAAAGTTCAAAATTGAAAACAGACAGAAAGACTGACAGACAAATGCATGCCTAAAGGTTTATGAAGTTTTTAAAATGCTCAGTATGCTACAGTATGTTGATATAGATAAATTGTTGCTAGGCAGTTGATGTGTGCTAGCACTGCTACGCATCATGTCTTAGAATGTTAATATTCCATAACTAGCAAGTTTTAAATTATTGTTAACATATTTTAGCAGGTTGCTACAATGTTTTATCATATTACAAGTGGGTTTTAACAAGTTTCTAACATGCTTTGAAATGTTAGCATGCCTGTTAGCATGTTTTAGAACCATGCTAGTAAGTTTTACCATGTTGATATTTGATAACTAGCAAGTTTTAAAATATTGTTAACTTATTTTAGCAGGTTGCTATGATGTTTTATCACACTACAAGTGTGTTTAAAAAAGTTTTTTACATGTTTTGAAATGTTAGCATGCCTGTTGGCATTTTTTTATAACCAGGCTAGCAAGTTTTACCATGTTGATATTTCATAACTAGCATTTTTTTAAAAATAGGAAACATTTTTTAGCAGGTTGCTTCAATGTTTTATCATACTACAAGTGTGTTTTAACAAGTTTCTAACATGTTTTTAAAAGTTAGCATGCCCGTTAGCATGTTTAGAACCATGCTAACAAGTTTGAACATGTCCAGAAAATAGGTTTTAATAATAATAATAAATAATAATATATAAATAATAAATAATAATTCAAATTACCCTTATGATCTTGGACTCCCAATCATCCCCATCCACTGAATTGGCTGTATCACTGTCTCTTTACTCCACCAATAGCTGGTGTGTGGTGAACACACTAGTGCTATTGTCTTGTGTCTGCCGTTGCATCATCCAAGTGGATGCTGCACACTGGTGGTGGTGGTGTGCAGAGACCCCCCCTCATTGTGAAGCGCTTTGGGTGTATGGCCATACACAATAAATGCACTATATAAATACACATTACGTTACATTACATGTTGATAGCACTTCACTTTGCTAGAACACATTGTTAGCATGTTCACTCCATTCTAAGCTTGCTTTAGCACAATAATAGTATGATGTAACATGTTGGTAATATCTTGTAACATATTTCTAACTTCCTATAGGCTATTTTTTTTTAGCTTTGCTAGTGCTAAATATATAGGCCCAGGTTTTGTGACTGATGGTTTAGGATCTTTGGGACACACTTGATAAGAATTCATGTTTCAGACAAGGTAATATATAGTAGGCCTAGATTGAACAGTATTGCAGTTTGTTTGCTGACCTGAGGGTATACATAATATTCAAACTTTAAAGCTGTTTAATATGCTTTTTAATAAATTCAAGCTAAATTTATAAAATTTAAATAACAAACATACAACAAAAATTCTATAAAACATTAAATAAAAAGTTAAAGAATTAAAAAATAATCTTAAATACAACAACAATAGTACTAAAAAACTGACAAATGACATGCTGAAATGAGTACTACACATACTACAGAAAGATTTGTATGTTAGTATTCGCTCTGAAATAAGCCATACACTGACATTTGGACACTCTTCTCTCAAATATTTCAGCTACCCACATTACTAATAAATGCATAAAATAAAATGTATTCAGATTAAGTAACTTATGATACGAAATGTTATTTTTTTTACACATTTTGTATTCTAACATTGTCAGGCCCATTTCTCTTTGAGCATGGCAATTGCACAACAAAGTGAGCAGCGTAAAAAGTGAGACACTGCTTGCTGCAGAGACACTTGAGCTCCAGCGAGGGGGAGCTATAGCTCCAACTCCTCCTCCTATAAGCTGTTTTAATGCGTACACCCACCCATAACCCCAACCCCCAGTGACATCAGCTGTAGAAGAAGTGCAAGGAACGAGGAGCTAGAGCTCAGTCTCCCTCTAACTGGAGCTCAGCTCTGCCCAAGTGGCTCTGCAGTGAGCACCACTTGTAAAAAGTCAGTGCCCCAGCCCTCTTTACAACAATCAGCCACTAGATGGCACCGTAAGACAGGTTTGTAAAATATTTGGATTTATAAATACATGAGCAATTCTTGAAAGAGATTTTAACTAATAATTGAGGACATTCTTATATAGAACGTTTAATAATGTATGCATAAAAATTTAAATCAGGGTTTCAAACAGGACTATTTGACCTGTGATGCTGCCATTTGGTAATCACATTATATTAGGAGGTAATGTTATAACCTAAATGCTTATTAAAACTGATTAAGGCAAGCATAATCAATTACCAAAACAAATTATTGTAAAGTCTAAAGGGCAATTTAAAATAAACTAAGTTAAAGAGCTCTAAAAAAGCGTCTCTAGTTCCCCTTAAGGGAAATGAAGACATAAACTGCAGCTTAGTTTGGTGACAGCATGACCTTTTTCCATGAAAATAAACAAATAAATAATAATATCGTCAGCAAAGAAATTGATCAAAGTGACACTAAATTTCAAACACAGTACAACATATTACTTTAAACACTTAATGCATAAAAGAAATTTGAAAAACACACATTCACAATAATATAATAGTCAGGAAATGTTTCAATCATTTCCGAAGGTTTGTGACACTAAAGACTTCAAGTAATGATGCTGAAAATTCAGTACAGTCACCACAGAAATAAAATGTGGTAAAAGATTTTAAAACTGAAAGCAGCTATTTTAAGAAATAGTTCCACAATATTTACTGTATTTGGTGCAGACATATGGGATCTGGATGAGCATTAAAGCATCTTACTACACCCAAATTTATGAATGCTATACTGTAGATGTCCATAAAATGTCATACCATAAACATTTATTATAGTCCGTAAGCAAACACTGTATAGTAACATTATTATTCTTTTAATCCAGAATGATTCTATCAAAATAAATAAATAAATAAATAATAAAATGGCCATGCTTTATATAGGTTAATTAGATGAGAGAATGTGTGATTTGCTGTAGTTCTGCCTGTCAGCGCTGGAGTCTGCAGAGACTGTCTCTTCTAATCAGACTCTCTCTGAGCTCAGGCTCCAGCTATATTTGGGCTGTGCACTAAAAGCCCGATCATGCATCCAGTCAACTGTGTGATGCCATAATCATGGCTGTAACTAAATGCGCATGCTAACAAATGCTTCATTTTTGTGCGTCTTGTGGGAGTGAAATCTCATCTCTGTTTCATGCAGTCTGTTGCATAATCTATTATTCCGACGCCCCAAAAAAAGCTGACTCGCTTACATCAATGTGTTCAAATTAAACCTTTAATGAAAGCTCCAACGTTTAGAGATAATTTAACATATAAACGAGAGGTTTGACACCAGGAAGATGTTACACGTTTTTAAGATGGAGATAGAAAAGAGAGAAAACAGTGAGGGGGGAAATCAGTGCTGGAGTTGTGAAAATCTGCAGCTCCACCCAATGTCAACGTGAGGCCAGTTTTCTCTGAAACCTCAGACTGACGTCAAACGAAACCCCAGCAGTGCTGACTGTCTCCTACAGCAGAGACCTGTCTAAATACACCAGCAGTCTTGCAGAAAAACAGAGAAAATGACAGAATGGCACGTTTCATTATCGTGCGCACGGAATGTACTAACCCAAACGGGTAAAGATATATCCGAAGTACCAAAAGGAGAAGCCACCATTTAGACTAATTCTCCAAATTTAGGAATGAACTACAGTAATTAAGTATATCCATGAGGTACAGAACAAACATTTGGACCGATCCCTTAAAAAAAGATTACACAGCTTTAAGACTAACTTATAAGCTGCAGTTCAATAAAGCAAACATGTTTCCAATCAGTATTTTTATCAAAAAACCTAAACTAAAATTGTGAGATTCAAAAGTGCCAGAAAACATCAAGATTTAAGGCTTATTTTCTGTTTTACTTTTTCTTTCCCTTTTTAAGGAGTTAAAAAAAAAAGTTGTTATTTTGTTGTTTTAACCATAAATCTTACACAATGTTGTGAGTGAAAAATAAAAAATAATTCAAAAATAATAACAACAATAATAATAGAGATAATATATATCCAAATATCTAATACAGATTTCATTAGTTTTCTTGTTCTAACCATTAAACTTACTAAATTTATTGAGGCAGAAAAATAATAATAAAATGAATACATTCCCTCACTGAATTAATTTAGATTCCAGATATTTCTAATTTAGATTCCTTTTATTATTGTTGTTGTTTTAGCCATAAACTTTATACAAATTATTGAACCAAAAAAGAAAAATCGGTAAGAAGGTTTTTGATGAATGGTTCAAAAAAGAAAATAACAAAGTTTTAGTGAAAAAAATCTAATTAGGTTATATCTAATAATAAACAACAATAAAAATAAGAAAAATATAATAATAACAACATTTTCTTTAGGTTGTTCCCATACATCCATACAATTAACCATACATTTCTTTCAGTGTGACAATAAATGACTTATAAAGTACAAAATCCTGACAAAAAAAAAAACAGATTAAAACATTTTAGTTTTTTTCAGTTGAATATGAAGTTTTTAAACCATGATTCAGTAACCTCATCTTTTTAATGCTCAAATTTAGCAATGATTTTCAAAGTTTCTCAAAGACAGTTGTTGTACATCTGTTTCAAATATTACTAATTGAGATTTCTTTTATTATTGTTGTTGTTTTAGCCATAGATTTTACACAAATTATTGAACCAAAAAACTAAATTCGGTAAGCTTATCAATGAATTTAATCTATTTATTTTACATTTCCCACTCACTAGAAAAGGTAATTTTGTTTGTTTGAACCATTAATCTTACAAAGCCAAAAAAATTAAATAAAAATAAAATTAGGTTATATCTAATAATAATAATAATAATAATAATGACATTTTCTTTCAATTTTTTCCCATACATTCAAACTGTTCATTACAAACAAACTTTTTTGTTTTAACCATACATTTCATACAGTGTGATAATAAATGACTTATACAGTACAAAATCCTGACAAAAATACTGATTAAAACGTTTTACTTTTGTTTTTTCAATTGAATATGAAATATTTAAACCATGATTCAGTAACCTCATCTTTTTCTAATGCCCAAATTTAGCTATGATTTTCAAAGTTTCTCAAACACAGTTGCTGTCTGTCTGTTGACAGTGGTGGTCCAGAAGTCGAAACACTTCTAAATGTAAACTGACATATATTGTCTGGACTGCTGGTTTTCTTGGCGGTGACGAACAGCAGGTCAGACAATGGTTTTGAATTTCTTTTTTTCTGGCAGTGCTGTTTGCTATTTCAGTCTCTTTATTATGCAAAACAAATGGGGTGGCCATCCGAGCACATCATCATCATCATCATCATCTGGTGTAGGACCTCTGCCAGTTGTAAATAGCATGTATGTTATGCGAGCACACAGGCAGTCTTTTGCATGTGCTGACACTGCGATGGCGGAAAGTCTTGCCAGCCCCACTAAGACCCCTCCTGCGGGCCGCTAGTTTGGCCCGCTCCTCCGCGGCGAAGAAATCGGTCGTGGCTCGAAAAAACTCCAGCAAGGCCTGGTGGCTCCAGACGACAGGACCCTCGTCTGACGTGGAGAAGCCACAGTGGCCTCCGCAGGCAGTCAAAAGCAGGAAGAAATGAGGGTTGTTCTCAAAAAGCTCTAAGGGCAACGTGGTCCTCGGATCCCCTCGTATGGGGTCATCCTGACTGCACACGCACAGCACAGGAATGGCAACTTCATCGATGTCCCTCAGAGGGTCATTCCGCTCCCAATATGCCTCCCAGCTCCCCGTTCCCTCCACTGGGACCCCTTTTGAGCTAAAATGGCAGAACAGCGCCTCCTCCATCTCCTTCAGAGAGCAGCTAGAGAACACGCTGTCTATGTGGACCAGCTCCCCGAGCACAGTTTTATACCTGCGGATGGGATTGAACACATTATCAGCTTTAATCGGAATAGATCAGAGCAGCATCGGAAGAGTTTTGTTTTCATCATTGATTCGAGTTACAAATAAGCTGGCAAACTGTTTAGATGGACCACAGAAATCAATAGCGCTGGATACACATCACTGGTCGCTACAGCAACAGGATTGGATTTTAATTTGGATCACCCAGAGCGGATTTGCTTCAAGAACGGCTGATTGTGAGCAATATCTTTGAGTGAGACTACGTCAACTTTAAAGGGATAAAACGCCCTAAAATGAAAAATGCTGTTTTTTTTTTGTTTTTTTTTACTAATTTTCAAGCCATCTAAGATGATGACTTTTTTCTTTAGTAGAATATTAAAGATGTTTAGCTTAAAATGTGGTCTGTGTTGGTTCATTAAATAAACGTCAATGGCTACTGACTTTTTGAGAGTGAAACAAAAAACATGTACAGGCTAAGCTAAATTAATACACATGTGGTTCCTGATGATGTATTAACATCTTATGAAGAAAACAGCCTGTGCAGGAAGCCAAACTTATTAACAAAATTATAATCTTCAATCTAGAGCCTCAGCAAACCGTACAGAAATGAGAGTTTAGAGCATCCAATTTTTGCTAAATCACCATTTCAGATGAAAAATCTTTAGTTTTTTTAAACAAATAAATCGATTACCTGAGAATGAGTAGATTAACAGTAATTTTTAAAATTTAACTACTCTTTTAAACTGCCTATAGATTAAGATATTAATCTATAGGAATATATTATATATTCCTATAGATTAATAAAGATTCATATAGATTAATAATATATATAAGATATATATATATATATATATATTTATATATATCTTAATATATTAAGATATATTAAGATATAATAATATTAATTCATTGCATTTATATATTGCTTTTTTGGGTATTCAAAGTGCTTTACACATCTGAATGGGAATTAATCAATCAATCAATCTATCCAGTATGTGTACATACATACATACATACATGGGTATTTACCAAAATCTGGTTCAATTCCATGTCGTCAGCTCTTTTAGAAATACTATTCCCAGGAAAAAACATGGCGTGTTCAATACTTATTTTCCACACTGTATATATAAAGATTTGCTTAATTACTTAAGATTTACTTACTTTTCTTATACCATTTGTAAACTTCATTTTGTTGCCATCATACATTTTATAACAAATTAGTGAACCTAAGATTTAAATAGAATGAAAATCCTAATTCAAGATTTACTGTCTAAAATATTATACAAGAAAGTGGAAAAATATCTTCTTCTTTTTTACTTTCACAGTGAAAAAACTTCAGATGAGTATTTTTTTTTTTTTTTAAAAACATGATTAGATAACATCGACTTTCTAATTTTCCACATTGTAAAAAAAGTAGGCTTTTGATGTACATTTAACCATTTCCATATTTTTACTTGGATTTTTTTTTTTAATTTTTCATTACAACATCCTCAAACACTGTCCATCTGCTGAGAGTTATTTGCCTATTCCAAAGAACCCTGATTGTAACTTTATTTTGTGAAAACTGAAACAACCTCCTCCTTTAACCCTACCTGCTGAGGCAGATCTTTTGGTAGAGCAGGAGAGCCCAGTGGAAGGGCCAGCTTGGGCCACTCTCAAACCAGCTCTGGCAGCGGAAAATAGGCGACAGACAGGCTGCAGCCGTCACATAACTAGAAGAGCCACACTCGCCCAAGTAGGACAGCAGGAGTCCTGAACCAGTGCTCTCGCTCACGGCATAGATCTGACCCGCCGGCTGCCGGTACCGTATGTAGCGCACTGCTTCCCGGAGGTCAGTCGGGTCGCCAAACTGCTGCAGCCTGATGGTAGAGAGCGGCGTCCCGTTCTGGCTCCTGCGGTTGAAGATCACGGGGAGGTAACCGTGACTCAGAGCTGCTTCACAGAGCTGCGGACAAAAAAATAAACATGGTCACATGCTAGATACAGTACACGGGGTCATACTTGTGCATATAAACAAAGATGTTTTACATAAGTCTCATACACCTGTAACAAGTGGCCTTGGGTTAAAAAAACAAACATTGTAAGCTTTATGTACATTTGAGTGTATTTTTAAAACAGGGCATAAAACTGAGGGTTAAATATATACAGTTTGCTACCATAATTTGATCATTACAGCTACTCTGTGCTTTTGTTCACAGAATTTAACACAGCTGTGATGCTAACAATTCAGTAACTTGAGGGAAGGGCCAGCAATATGGCTGCCAAATTCCTCAAGTTTCACAAGTCTGCAAAAAATTCCTTAAGAGTAAACATTCCATCTAAGTGCAAAATATTTTGGGATTTTTTTTTATTATATAAAAATCGCTGAGTGAGATAATAAAAAATTCATTTAGTTTGAGATGTAAATTTCCTCTAACTGATTCTTTAATGAAAATATGAGAAGTATTATTTAATGATAAATGATGATTTTTTTTTCTTTAAAAGGAATCTATTGTGCAAAATGTACTTTTACATGGTGTTGAACACTGATGTGTGGTCACAGTGTCCACAAACAACCTACCTATAAAAGATAAAAATCTCCTTTTTATAACCCTAATAAATCAAAACCTTTTGTGCGTCTTAAAATACTCTGATCCAGATTTCCCTCTAATGTGACTTCAGAATGTTCAGTGCAATTACATGCAATTAGATGTTAAAGAGAAATTTAATTTCATACTCGGGTAATATGTGCTATGTAAACGAAATTGAAACTGTAAATGCATGCAGATACAAAACATTCATAACTATAAAAGAAATAGAAAGTTGATCCTTGGGCCCTATTATACACCCAGCTCTATAAGGTGCAAGAGGTGTTCGACGCGATTTGTTGCTATTTTTAGACCAACGCAACCCTAATTTTCCCATTTTGCGCCATGTTGTCTAAATAACTATTTATTTGCACTGCTTTGTGGGTTTGTCTGTCTAGAAAGGAGGTGTTTTACGGCGTAATGTTTCCGCGTTGGTATTTTGAGGAACTAAAATAGACTGCACAATTGAACAGCTAAAAACTGGTTTAAGTCCAGCGCAGAGCACATTAGTTGCCCTCCTTAAATGTGTACACATTGCTTAAAACACACAAGATGTAGAGCAACACACAAGTATCTTTACAAATGAAAAAGAATGGATTAAAATGTTGCAAAAAAATTATTTTCTACTTAAATATAAAATCCCCTGCCTCCATGCCTTCTTCGTCTCGGGGGGCTTTTTTCAATTTATTTACGACAATTTGCTATAGTTTAATGTTATTATTAGCATATTAACAATGTTATTTATTGTATGCATATTTATATTTGTCTTAATAAAACTGGCTTACTAAATATGGTTTTGGACCATATGGGGCATAGCACGCGTGTTTGGATAAAACTGCAAACACTTCATTATTATTGTTCATTTATTAATTTTCTGGAAATTAGAAATGAATTAAAAAATAGTTTTGAAACAAATCTTTGCGTTTTCCTAACTTCACAAAAGTAAGAGTAAAAGTAAAGAAGGTAAAGAGGCCGAATGGAGGAGGCTCATTCTTTATCCTCGCGCTGCAGATGGTCTATTATTTAACTGTTTTCTCGCTAGTGTAGAGTTAAGTTTTTTCCCTTACAAATTCCGCCATGTAAACAGTAAATGCACCATGGCGTGATGCAACTAAACTGATTAGTTTATTCTCGAAACACTCATAACTCATTAAGAGAATAAGCACAACCCTGTTAGACCATGCGCACCATGCAAAGCATATTTTTTCCATCCTTAAAATAGCAAAAGGGGATTTGGACAAGCCCTTAAGGCTTTCGCGCCCTGCGCTTTAGACTTTGGACTTGGATCATTAAAATAAAGTCCCCTGTGATTAACTGAATGAAAACAGCAAACGCGATTGAGCAAAGCTGTCCTTATAGTAATTCTGCTCCGAAAGCCAGAGGGTGCACTCATCCAGAAATTTTAAGCACCCACAAAGAAGAAACCCAGAAAATTTCCAAATAATTGCATTATAAATAGAAAATTTTAATTGATTTAGTGTCACAAATAATCACAAAACTCATCTGACAAAAGTTATGAAGCTTGGAATAAAAACATTATTATATTTGCACTTACTACACAGAGTCATGGTTCACTGAGAAGCTACGTAAACATTTGCCATCATCATAGAATGATTATACAACGATTATACAGACTGTAATGGTTATATAAATGATTATACTTTGACTAAATATGTTTCTAAGTAAATTCTGCTATATCTAAAAGCAATTGTGGAGGTTTACAAAAATCCACAAGAAAATCATCCAGCCCTGCTGAAAAGTCACGAAGCACGATCAAACCTATGATTTGTTTGGTGGATTTTTAAGACCAAGGAGCAGCAATTGATTTGCACTTAAAGAGACACTGTACAAACAACTAAATGTATCTGCATTGTGCACTGGTAACAGTTGTGATACTCCTAAGGGAGATGAAGATTCAAATTTGGCTGGAAACAAACTGAAATCCTTTTCTCTTCTTCCTTTTATTTATTGTAATCCTGCCTGCTCTTACTATGATAATTAGCACAACAAAAGGCCAGAAACAAAGCAGTAAGTGCATAGTAATTCCTCTATCATGATAGCTTAATAAGAAATGTTTAATTGTGCTTAATGTAGAAAACAGGATCTACTCCTCAGCACAGTATTTCCATGTCCCTTTCTTGTGTCAATTCCTGAAGACCCAGAAAACACTCAGGCTTTTACTTCAGTCCAGCGCTTCGTGCTTCGTGATGATGTGCAAATTGGGTGCAGCTTCTTGCTTAGTGTGCCCTGATGATTACAGCATAAAAAACATTCCTCTAAAACGCACCAAAACCACAGCGGGCTACAACTCAACCCCAACCAAACCCTTGTCTATTTAAACATATAGGCACAGCCAAACCTATGTAAAACTAAATGGGAACCATAAGTATGACTTTAGAGTTCTGCAAAAAGGTTGCAACTAATTTAAAGAGATAGTTCACCCCAAAATAAAATTATTTTTTAAACCTGTGAGGTTCTTTCTTCTGTTGAACACCAAAGAAACTATTTTGAAAACACTGATAACTGGTTGCCATTCACTTCCACAGTATTTCCCCTCCTAACTGGCTACCTGTTTGCAATATTCTCCAAAATATTGTCTGTGTTCAACAGAAAAAAGATACTTAATGAATGTTTATAAACATTAATATGAATGTTTAGAATCTGTGAGATCTGGCAATTCATTTTTAGTTTTGGTTTTTGGGTGAGTTTTCTCTAAAGTCAATACAAAAAGGAAGTTGTCATAGTCTTTCTTCCCTATATGTATATATAAGTGAAGTGGCTTCTCACAAAAGTAGGGTGGAGCTTGATTTGATCAGAAATTTACTTGTTTGTTTTTAGATATTGGCTTATCAGAGTAGACAAATTATTTTGATTTAAACTTATAAGGACAAATAAATAAATTATAAAATAAATTAGCAATTTATACTCCATAAACAAAACATTTTCATTTGAAGTTACTGTGATAATTTTGAATTATTGTAATCGCAGTGCTGCAGCCAATATACACACAATATATTATATACAATATACACTCACCTGCCGCTTTATAGGTACACCTGTCCAACTACTCGATTTTGCAAATTTCTAATCAGATCAGCGATAGATACTGATATTTTCACGCACAACCATCTCTAGAGTTTGACCACAGAGAATGGTCTGAAAGAGGGAAAACATCCAGTATGCAGCAGTTCTGTGTTGTAACAAGTAGTTATTTGAGTTGGAACCAAGGAATGCAGAGGAGCATCTCTAAACGCACAACACTTCGAACCCTGAGGCGGATGGGCAACAGCAGCAGAAGACCACACCGAGTGGCACTCCTCTCTGCTAAGAACAGGAAACGGAGGCTACAATCGGCACACCAAATTTGGACAACTTAAGATTGGATAAATGATGCCTGGTCTGATGGGTCTTGATTTCTGCTGCGACATTCGGATGGTAGAGTCAGAATTTAGCATCAACAATATGAAAGCATGGAACTATCTTGCCTGGTATTAAAGGTTCAGGCTGGTGGTGGTGTAATGGTGTGGGTTATATTTTCTTGGCACACCTCAGGCCAATTAGTACCAATTGTACAGCCTACCTAAGTATTGTTGCTGACCATCGCTTTATGACCACAGTGTACCCATCTTCTGATGGCTACTTCCAGCAGGATAACCTTCATGTCATAAAGCACAAATCATCTCAGACTCAGTTTCTTTAACATGACATTGAGTTCACTGTACTCAAATGGTCTCCACAGTCACTAGATCTCAATCCAATAGAGCACCTTTGGGAAGTGGTGGAACGAGAGATTTGCATCATGGATGTGCAGCTGACAAATTATTATGTCAATATGGACAAAAATCTCTGAGGAATATTTCCAGAACCTTGTTGAATCAATACCACAAAAGGATTAAGGTAGTTCTGAAAGCAAAAAGGGTCCAACACAGTACTAGTAAGGTATACCTAATAAAGAGGCCGGTAACTGTAAATATATTACAATATAGATATATTATAGTTCGGTGTTTTAGTATAATATTAGTAAATTTAGTAAACTACATATTTCACTGAAATTTTTTTTCTAAATTTAAAATAAAAATGTAATTTAAAGCATTTTTGCATAAAATAACAAAACAATTAGCTGTTTTAGGCATGTTTCCAATAATTCTGAGACAACAATATATATTTTTTTTACTTCAGAAGAACAAACAAAAAAATATTCTGATCAATAGTTATATTCTAAACAAATATGAAATGCTTCTAATTGACAATATATTTTATTTAAAAAAAGAAAGAAATGCCATCACACCTTAATAAAATAAAACAAATATTAATATAATCTCAAACCCACACGTAATTAATCCAGTTCATCCAGAGAAACTGAATTTTTCATTTTTTCCATAGCTCTATAGGGATTGAGCAAATATCCCACAGGCTACTTGGCCAACCAGAAGTGCACAGCTTTGACTCTTATACGCCATCTGTCTGAGTTTACAAAGAGACCTTCATCACCACCACTCTCAGTCAAACTCTACACAAAAGCAGCCTTCTGACACAGTGATTGTACTCCTCCACAATGCACAGCTAACAGAGTTACAGTGAGCACAGAGCGCATTTCTCCCGGAATCATCCATGATGGAGTGCGAAAGCTAATGAGTTTATTTCAAGTTGCCTGGAGCTTTAGGTCTGGGATATGTAGTGAGCTCCAAATTGGGTGAGGAGGAATGACTCACTTCTGACTCTCTTGCAAAGAGTCAGAGAAAAGATCTATCATGCAGGCTATAATTGCAAAATAAATGATGCTTAAGTCACACAGCTTCTTTATTTTAATGCAAAAAAAGTCCAACAAAGCATATTGACTAATTTGCTTCTGGCCTATTTTTTATGAATTATTTTTCATTTAATTGAATTTTTTTCCCCCCAAAGAAAACGTTTTATGTTGTTGTTGTTGTTTTTGCATTTGAATATTTCTGGATTGTGCTTTATTTGCTTTATTTAAATTTTTGTAGTCCATCTTAATGGTTAAAACATACTGTCATGATCAACATGATTTACATGAAATCATGAAACTTTGCCAATTAATTTGTATTATTTAAAATAAATCAGGCTGTTTTTTTTTAAATGCACATAATACAACAATAGTTTGTGGTATGTAAGCTGTAGAATAACAATAGTCTTTCCACATTCAAGTATTCAAGTGAAATTTTAATATTCAAAGCATGGTTGCTATTTATGGACAACAATGTGAGATTAGCTTTCATCAGACACGTGAGCAACTTGTTAGAAACTTTAAATTCACATGTTGAACATGCAATTTTTGAAGAACAAATTACATTTACTTTATTTACATTCAAAAAATTCTGCTAATTAGCTTTTCCAATTTGTCTACTGAATATATTTACAACAGCTCAACAGAGCGCATTAGTGACGGGACACACAAATTTTTTCAGCATCACTTTTTTTTTGTTAAAGTGCTATATAGGCATGGGATGATAACTGTTTTCATGGTGTACCGTGGTTTGGAAGTCAAGGTTTTAAAACCGCCAAAATTTTCTTTAATACCAATCCTAAGGTATGTGTAAGATTTTTTTTTTTATTTACTTTTTTTAGAACAACAGTATCTCCAGCAGAAAAAAATATGCAAAGATGCTGTTTTAAATTGTAAAAAAGATCAGTGTTTTTGAACTTAATGAAGACAGCAGAAGTCAATGATTCATTTGAATTATTTAGCCTGACATGTTTACTGTTCCAAAATACTTTAAATGTTTCTCAAAATGAAATTAATTGTGTTAAAAATGGGAAAAAGTTGTTGTTGTTTTTTACCCAGGCATTTAAGAACTTATATAAATAAGACATATTTTTACCCAAGGTTATCATACCATCAGGATCTTATACCAACCCATGCCTAGTGCTATAATACATCAAACAAACCAATTAGCTGTGGGCTTAATCACAACACCACACACTTTAATATGAAGAAAAGTAGTACATATAAATTGGACCAAAATATTTAAAAAAAACTGTACTTAACAGCTTTAAAATTAAAGTAAATATATATATTAAGTATTTTAAAAGCATGAGGAGATGAATTACGAAAATTCATTATGCTTTGGAGTAGGTGGATATCTGCTTTTGGGTGTTTTGCTTGCTGCAACTTTCTGACTGGTTGATTTTTCAAAAGCATCATAGTCAATGCAGTTATTTTGTTCATTTTCCTTCAGCTTAGTCCCTTATTTATCTGGGCCCTTCCAGCCACAACAAATTACAATCTTATATTCACACACACTCAAACACTACTGCCAATTTAGTTCATCCAATTTGCCTATAGTGCATGTCTTTGGACTGTGGGGGAACCCGGAGCACCCAGAGGAATCAGTCAAGAACACGGGAAGAACATGCAAACTCCACACAGAAATGCCAACTGGCCCAGTCGGGAATTTGACCCAGCGACCTTCTTGCTGTTAGGTGACAATCCTAAAAACGGAGCCATCGTGCCACCCACAATGCTATTATTTCTGCACAAAATTATATATTTTTTAAAATTAAAATATAAAAGTCAAACTAAAGCAAAAAAAATGACTAAAACAAAGGAATTTTAACCAATTATATTATACCTCACAACATGTCTGTTTTTTACAGTTTTACAGTTTCTGTTAAAAAATCTTCTTAAATCATACTGTATCCATATAGAAAAAAAATACTATAGTAATTTATAGTAAATCGCATAATGATTTGAACCAGAGTACATGACTTAGTGCTGTTGTAACACACAAACTATAGCAATTTAAACAAAAAACCCAATATTGTAGATTTTTATTACAACTACAGGGTATATTATACAACACACCACAGTTTACTGTAATAAAACCTAAAGTATACTACAGTATTTATTTATTAAAACCTAAAGTATAAGAGTTGTAAATGCCGTAATATATACAGCATAAAACACTTTACTATAGTACTGTACAAAAACACTATATATAGTACAAATTACTACAGTATTTTTCATCTAGATCCACTTTGCAGTGTAGTTGTATGTGAACATTAGATCAAAAGGGTACCAGTAACCATCCACTTGCATAGTAGCAAAAACAAATACTATGGAAGTCAATGGTTATAGATTCTTCAAAATATTTTCTCTTTCGTGTTCAACAGAAAAAAGAAACCTATAAAGGTTTCAAACATCCTTAATCCGACCTCATACACATAGAAAAAATACTACAGTCATTTACAGTCAGACTTAATCTGTTGTGGTAATTCTACAGTTGCCAAAGTAACACAAAAAAAATATAGCAATACAAACAAAAAGCCCAATACTGTAGTTTTCTACTACAACTACAGAGTATATTATACAACACACCAGTTTACTGTAGTAAAAACTAAAGTATACTACAGTATTTATTCGTTTATCAGATCACTAGTTAATGCTACAATTTTATGTAGCATTCATCAACAAAGAGTTAGCCAGTTTTAGTTGATTAAAAGTTAATTTGGTTTCATTGGTGAAATACAACACACATAGATGTAAAATGGTGGTTTGTGCTTGCAGAAATGTAAACAAAGCCTGTTTTCAACATAAGGGATGTTGCATTTATATAATGTACCTACTCTATACTCTAAAACTGTACTCACCATAAGTGTTTCCAAACCTATTTGAGTTTTTTATTCTGCTGATCACTAAATATATTTTGAGGATAGACGAAAACCAGTAACCATCCACTTCCATAGAAGGACAAACAAATATGGAAGTCAATGGTTACAGGTGTCCAACATTCTTCAAATTATCTTCTTTCGTGTTCAAAAGATATAGGTTTGAAACAAGTAAATAGCGAGTAAATGATGAAAAAAAAAATTTTTGGGAGAATTATCCCTTTTACTGAGGACAACTAAAACACACAAAAGACGACCGTTACCTTGAGAACGTTCCGGGTGATTCTCCCAAAAGAGTTGGGAATGATGAGCAGAACTGGACTTGTGGAATTGCTGGAAGTCCTGCGCCTCTTGTGATGCGCTGCACCAACGACAGCCCAGTCCAGCGCCACCAGTCCGTCGTCGCTCAGCTGCAGATGATCTCGTATAAAATGCACCGGACACTCCACCGGCCACAGAGCGCCGAAAACTGTCTGTAAAGACGAGCTCACGCGCCAGTTCCACGACGGTATCGACAAAGACTTGCAAAAAGTCATGCAGTGTTTAAGAAGGTAGTTCGCCAACGCCGAGGGCTTGCATATGAGGGCGACCGCGGCTGATTCACCTTGTTCCTCCAGTTTGGAATCGCATCTCTCCGCGGGTCTTTTGCTGTCGCGCCGCGGAAGCAGCAACGTGGAGTGACTCGCCGCCCCAAAACACTTCGCCACTGGCCAGAGTATGGCCATTAAAATCAGAAAACAAACCGTGCCAATCCATTCCAGCATTTGAACGGCTTTTGAAACCCCTGCACAAAAAACAGCCAAAGCTCGCACTTCAGCTTGACATACGCCAGTCAGTTTAGGGTTAATTGAGAGCTCACTGTACAGGTAGTAGCTTGAAAATGAATGCGACCTCTGGCAGCGCCAATGCAAACTTCAAAGTTTTGTGGCTGGATGGTTTTTATATATCCGCACATCCAAAACAAACCGTTGCTGTTCTCCAAGATTTGCACAATTTATGTCAGAAGAACGTGTTGTTGTGTTGCCGCCATAGTTCAAAACGAAGCGCCCTCGCAGCCTGCCTTTGTGCTCCGTCTGATTATGCAATAGATGGTCTTTCGCAGTCAACTCTTCACCTGCATCCGCCTGCGAGACCCATGTGCCATTTTTGCGCTCATTTTTGCGGTCTGCCACAGAACTGCTGCTGTCATGAATGATTGTCAAGAGTTTTCAGTTCAGAGTCGCATCACACTCTGCTGGCTCGAGCCCGTGAATCATCTCTGTTATAGAGAAGGAACGCCCTCTCCACAAGATTATTCATCTGCAACATACATTTAGGCGGATGCTGTAATAAATCGGAATGGTCTTATAATCTTTCCTTAAACCACATGTGTCTGAACAGATGTTGTTCATTACAGAAAGAGGAAATGTGTGAATCATTAGTATGAAAAGTAAACTGGGCGTAGTTTGAAGTTCCCCATAAAATTCTTTGTAAGGGTTTATTAATTAAAAATGATCAGCACTTTTTATTAATATAATTGGACATTTTGTTTAATAATGTAAAGTCTTTTAAAAGTGCTTCATCCCACATGAAGCGGGTTGTCACCTCATGGGCAACGCCATATGTTGACATCACGTGACCAGTGTCGTACAATTAACTAAGGCATATATGCCTTATCATACAAAAATGGTCCAATGATAAGCCTAATATTCTTTTGTTTAAAATTGATTTTAAGCATTATATAGAAACCCTAAAAGTTATTTAGTAATTGTTTTGTATGCTATTGTTCTTGTTATGCAATAAAAAATAAATAAATCGTATATTTTTGAGTATGAAATAAATAATAAACTTTGCAATAATAATCATATAAGATATTTTGCAATCTTGCTTCCCCTGTCTAGTATTAAGAAAAAATGATTGCATTCATTGGATAAAAATACTGTTAAACATTTTAAAAGGACTTATTTTATTTCCAATTTTCCCCAAGGCAAAAGAATTTAAAACATGAAATGATTTACACCCTTCTATTAGTTTTTTACATTTAAATTTGGAAAATTCAACCATTCATTCATTTTCTTTTCGGCTTAGTCCCTTTATTAATAAGGGGCCGCCACAGAGGAATAAACTGCCAACTTATCCAGCATATGTTTTGTGCAGTGGATGCTCTTCCGGCTGCAACCCATCACTGGAAAACACCCATACACCCTCATTCACATACATTACGGACAGTTTAGCTTACCCAATTCAACTATAGCACATGCCTTTGGACTGTGGGAAACCAGAACACCTGGAGAAAACCCACGCCAACATGGGGAGAAAATGCAAACCACACAGAAATGCCAACTGGCCCAGCCGAGGTTCCAACCAGCGACCTTCTTGCTGTAAGGCGACAGCGCTACGCACTGTGCCACCGCACCACTCTCACTCATTTAAGTAAACACTTAATTTAAGATACTGAACATTTTTTACTTGCAGCTCCGTTTAATCATTTTGGAAAAAAGTGCAAGAATGTGGTTGCTGAAGGTTTGACTTTCACATTACAAAATGTACAATATGGAATTACTAAAGATTGTTCTGTTTTGCACGGTTTAATAAATATTATCATTGTAATAGCCAAATATTTTATTCATATTTCAACACACCACCACTACTTAGTGTATTTATAAACAAAATTAAAATCTTTATGGATGCCCTGGCTAAAATGAAAACAAAAATTGACTTAAATGTTTAAATTGTTTGTATTTGTATTGTATTACTTGTTTTTTAGGCTTTCCTCTAAAAATGTACCAATTATTTGAACAATTCCTGAGAGAAATGTTTTTCTACAAAATCTTTCCAATGCATCATGAATAATAAAACACGGACAAAGCCATGGCCATATCACCCTGTAGCTCAAGACAGGTTATTCACTGAAGTTAAGCAGGGCTGAGCCTGGTCAGTACAAGGATGAGAGACCAGACAGGAAAACTAGGTTGCTGTTGGAAGTGGTGTTAGTAAGGGGGTGCTCAACCTGAGGTCTGTGTGAATCCTAATGCCCCAACATAGTGAAGGGGACACTACACTATCAGTGAGCGCCGTCTTTTGGATAAGATATTAATCCAAGGTCTTGTGTTCATTGAAAACCCTATGGCACTTCTTGTAAAGAGTAGTCGTGTAACCGTGTGTCCTGGACAAATTCCCTCCACTGTCTTACCACTCCACCAATAGCTGGTGTGTGGTGAGCGCACTGGCGCTGTTGTCCTGTGACTGCCGTTGCATCATCCAAGTAGATTCTGCACATTGGTGGTGGTGTGGAGAGACCCGTCCCCCTCATGATTGTGAAGCGATTTGGGTGTATGGCCATACACGATTATTGCTCTATATAAAAGCACATTACTTAGTTACTAAAGCCATCCTTAGGGTATTTAAGTATATATTTAAATATATATTAAATATATTTTTTAACCCAACAGCTGGGCTTGATTTTTATACAGCACTTTTAGCCAGCGTTGAAATGCTTTATAGATTAACATCTAAAAAATAAAACAATAGCAATATATCAAATGCAACATTAATACAGTCACAAAAAAATCAAGTGCCAAAATAAACTGCTCCACTTCACAAATCAAAAACAAATGCTGTGCCATCAAACGCTGAAGGCAAACACTCAACGGCTGAAGTAAAAAAATTAGTCAAATTAATTACCAATGGCACTTAAAAGAAAAAGATAAACACTAAGGCTGAAAGTGCACCTTAATCATAATTATTATGATCATAAAAATTTCTTTAAGCTTTATGAAAGTGCACAAAAGAATACAAATACTTGTACATCTTTGCAAAACCTTCTGATGTGCTGAGATGAAAATGAAGTATAGTCCACTGTAGTTTTAATTGTGATATACATTTTTGTAGACTGGCTTTATAGAAAAAGTCAACTGCTTTAAAACTCATTGAGTAGCCACAAAATAACCTTATATTCGAGTTTCATATATACTATTGGATGTGTTCAAATGCAGTCTGATCTTGAAAAAAAAAACCAGCAGATGCATTTTTTTTCTGTTTTTTTCTAACTGCATTATGGCTGAATGACTGAAGGGTTGTAATGCAATGAACAAAGTCTACGTATATATGTGGACCAATTCCAGCTGGGTGTGTTGCCTAGTCAGAGACTGCTGGCACCACTTGGACTATTGTTCTCAGGGTGTCTTTCAAGCCTACAGAATAGACACCAAAATAGTGACACTGATGCCAGCACAATTTTATATATAGTGCTGCAAACGGGGCATCAAGATTACACAAACCATGTGACATAAGCTTTGTTTGTTTGACTTTAGGGCTTAAGCTGGATTTCTACACGCAGGAAAATCTGTTGCATTTAACTTGCTCACTCCAGCGTGATTGCTGCTTTTCAGTGGAACAGAACAAATATGGATTGGTGATTAAACTGTATTGTGTAGTGGATTGTTGTGAGAAGGATAGATTGGGTCGAGATGCACGTGCGGGGAGCTGCTGGATTACTGCTGTACAATATCTCCTTCAGTTTATATTTAAGAGACAACAGTCTTACAGTCTTATAGCTGGAGAAAATGTTTAAGATAGTTTGAAGTGTGTCCAAACAATATTGACATAAATTTACTTTGCAGTTGTAATATACACTCACCGGCCACTTTATTAGGTACACCTGGCCAACTGCTCGCTAATGCAAATTTCTAATCAGCCAATCACATGGCTGTATTTCAAATCGAGCATCAGAATGGGGAAGATGATTTAAGTGACTCTGAATGTGGCATGGTTGTTGGTGACAGAGTATTTCAGAATCTGCTGATCTACTGGGATTTTCATGCACAACCATCTCTTGGGTTTACAGAGAATTGTGGTTTTGGAGAATTTGGAAAAATGAAGAATTTGGCATCAACATCTTGAAAGCATGAACCATCCTGCCTTGTATCAATGATTCCGGCTGGTGGTGGTGCTGTAATGGTGTGGGGGATATTTTCTTAGTACACTTTGGGCCCATTAGTACCAATTGAGCATTGTGTCAACGCCACAGCCTACCTGAGTATTGCTGCTGACCATGTTTTAGCATCCACATCATTATACTATAATTCTCCATCTCATTCTATGTTGTGTTCATTGCCATTTTAAGTCCAGTGGTTTCTAATTGCTGTCGATGTTTATATTCTTCATCTGCAGTTGTGTTGTCTGCCACATTAAAGAAATAGTTCACCCAAAAATGAAAATTATGCCAACATTTACTCACCCTTCACTTGTTTCAAAACTTTATGAGTTAGTTACTTCTGTTAAACACAAATTAATATATTTAGAAAAATGTTGTAAACCTTGTAACCATTGACTTCCAAGGTATTTGTTTTTCCTACTATGAAAGTCAATGGTTACAGGTTTTTAGCTTTCTTCAAAGTATCTTATTTTTTGTTTAAGAGAAGAAACTAACTCATAGAAGTCTGCAAGTATCTGAGCTAAAACATTGTGAGTAAATAGTGTGCAAATGTAAATTTTTGGTGAACTATACCTTTAAATGCACAAACTCTTTGAATTTCAGTGGATTCTGTTTGGCTGACAGGTTTTTATTTTTATTTTGATGAGATGTCAATGTTTTTCTGTGTTGCTATTATTTTAATAACTCATGCTAAGTTCATGTTTTTTTTTAGATGTGCACACTTTACAGTAATCACAGCCACTTGTGTTTAAGGACAATATAATATACTTTTTGTATGAAAAACAATGAAAAACGAAACCAGTTAATAACCACCGATATACAGTCCCTCAAGGGTATCATGCAGGATGCACAAAAACATTGTATTTTGGGAATGCAGCTTTATTATAGAAGTTTTCCACAAGTGTCACACCCACACAGGATTCAGTGACAATGAAAGCGTCCTTTTAGCTATGCAGGAAGTGCCTCAGAATAATCTTTGAAAAAGAACCACCGCCTCTGATTGCCTTGGGTGGACAGTGAGAAAACAAAGGATCTAAAGTGACAAATGGGGGAAAGGTTTTTCAGCAGCAGTGACCTTCAGGGCACAAATCCAGCTGTCTGATCACTTTGTAGAAGGCCAACGGTATCACATTCTCTCCTCTGTGCCCACACCACCTGCTTTATGATCCATATCTCCTATGATTGCGATAACACACACCTGCATTCCCTGGACCTTATAAATGTGATGAAAGCCTTCTTTACCAATGCTTTTTTTTCTTTCCCACTCCTGCTGCTGGGAAGGGCTCGTCTATATCTGGCCCCTTCCCCTGAGTGCTGATTCCAGCCGAAATACTAAAATTGAATCTAA